ATGATCTTGGTATCGTATCTATTTGGTTTGCTTCTGTTTCTCCAGTTTGACGATTTAATCTGTGTTTACAGTCCCGCTCTGTTTACTTTCAGTTCACCGCTCAAGGTCCCTTCATCGCCTAAAAAACACTTAAAACTACATTCTGTGACACAAAAACAGTATTATTTTAAAATGATAGTGGATTATTTAAATGATTGTGTCCGCCATGACACTCACTGTGAGAAATACAGGAAGCGGAGTGATACAAACGGTGAAACGGTTGCTGTTATCACTAGAATATCACACTCCTGGCTCTCAGCCAATCAGATTCGAGGACCAGAAAGAACTGTTGTATAAATATAAATAAAGATGAGTCATTCAAAAGTTGGGCGTTGTTCTTAATGCAAATTCCTGTTATGCACATAATAAGATGAAACAATCAAGGCTGATTATGTAACGTTTAGTGGAAATGCTTTTGTTTTCATATGAGTTCATGCATTCAACTAACAATACACACTTGAAGACTCAGACCAACCCATGTTTTCTGTGTGTGTGTGTGTGTGTGTGTGTGTGTGTAATGAATAGCCAGAAGTGTAATTAGGAAGCTGCTGGGTGCAGCAAGGAAGTTCATTCTAATATTGTGCTGGATGTCCTGACCTGTTATAGATTTATGATTAGGTGTTTTATGATACCCGCTGTATCATATTTCATAAGCAAATTTCGATGGCCTCTAAATAATCAACACGATCAAAACCTTTCTAAAAAAACCTGTTGTACACAATCTACTGCATGCCTTCTGTCGTCTGAGTTTGTACATTTTTATCAAGTAAGAGGTGTTTACAAACTTCGGAGCTTCTCGTGTGTTTCTGCTGTCAAATCTTGACTGATTTTTCTCAAGTAAACATCAGAATAACTGCAGTAATATCTCCAGATGAACTCTTACTGGACTGAAGCTGCTCAGCTTTACTTGATTCTCCATCAGTCATGTTTTAGAGTCTCAAATCTGATCCTCAGGATCTTTTGAGGAGCGTTTGTTTCCAGAAGCTTTACTTTCACTGTTCCTCAGCGGAGGAATGATCTTCACAAGCCTCCAGAACATCTCACATCTTCTGAGGAGCCTTTATTTCTTCAGCTCTCAATCACTGCATTATATGTTTATATGACATATATTATATGTCAAAAGAAGGTACAGCAGATGTGTTGTATGTGTTTGTCTCTGCTGTAGTCGCTGGCTTCTCTTCATCATGGAGCATCTTTTCTCCAGACTGGAAGAGGATGCTTCAGCTGGAGCTTCTCGTGTCAGATCTTGACTGGTTTTTCTCAAGTAAAGGTCAGAATAACTGCAGTAATATCTCCAGATGAACTCTTACTGGACTGAAGCAGCTCAGCTTTACTTGATTCTCCATCAATCATGTTAGTCAGTCTCAAATCTGATCCTCAGGATCTTTTGAGGAGCGTTTGTTTCCAGAAGCTTTACTTTCACTGTTCCTCAGCGGAGGAATGATCTTCACAAGCCTCCAGAACATCTCACATCTTCTGAGGAGCCTTTATTTGTTTATTTTTTGCTAAAATTTGGGCCTTCTTCTCCTCGAGTATGTGCTCCATATTCTCCTACTATATGCACAATAAAAGCCTGTTGTATCAAAAATATGATACCAAATAAAAACACATAAGTAAACTTTTTTGTCTAAAGGTTCAATAAAAACTTACATAAAAAAAAAAAATAATAATAATAAAAAAATATTATTCTGACTATTGTTTCATATGTTAGGCTTTACAGGGTTAATAAATAAAAGTCTCCAGTAAGACGGATAATATGAATGTTACATGGATTCATTGTAATTTAGGCTTCAGGTCCTTTAAATGAAGACCAGCGTTTTACTCTGTGAGAAATAATGCCTGGCAATACATGTGATACAGTTCACAAAGTTACAGTCATTTTTGACCTGTGTTTGCAAATATTCTGCATGCATAGAATACACAGATGACCTACTACACGTGTCAGAAAGTGACCTATATTTTCAAAGAGGTACATTTTTAGGAACAAAGTTGTAGCTGTTGAAAATATACCACCCTAGTGACCTTTTTTTTTTTCGTGGACTAAGAAGGACCACGCTCCCATCTACATTGATGGGGCTGAAGTGGAGCGCGTGGCGAGCTTCAAGTTCCTTGGTGTCCATCTCTCTGAGGATCTTTCCTGGACCCTCAATACCTCCACACTGATCAAAAAGGCACAACAGCGCCTTTACTTCCTTAGGAAACTAAGGGAAGCTCACCTGTCCCCCAACATCCTGCTGAACTTTTACCGTTGCACTATTGAAAGCATTCTCACAAACTGCATCACAGTGTGGTATGGCAACTGCACTGTTTCGGACCAGAAAGCCCTCCAGCGGGTGGTGAAAACTGCCCAATACACCACTGGTGTTGGGCTACCCTCCATCAAAGACGTTTACCACAAACGCTGCCTAAGGAGAGTGAGAAGCATCATCAAAGACTCCTCTCACCCCAATCACAGACTGTTCACTCCTCTCCCATCGGGGAGACGTTATAGGAGTCTTCGCTGTCGCACCAGCAGACTCAGGAACAGTTTCTTTCCCTCAGCGGTCAGCCTACTGAACTCCAATCTCAGGCGCTGAACACTACATCCTAGATGGACCACCTAATGCTTAACTTAAAAAAAAAAATAAAAAAAAAAATAAATTGTTCAGAACATTAACCTGTCTGCACTCCTCACTCACAATGTTCTTATTATTCCCTCTGTTATTTTGCACATTTCTCTGTTATTTTGCACATTTCTCTGTTATTTTGCACATTTCTCTGTTATTTTGCACATTTCTCTGTTATTTTGCACATTTCTCTGATATTTTGCACATTCCCTTGCACATTTTTACCTCCGGATGCCGTTTGCACTGTTATGGTCATTGGCCATATATAAACATATGCTATTTACGTACCTCACTGTATAATGCACCTTCTGTTTATACTTTCCTTGCACCCTATGTTGTATGTACAGTCATTTGCATTGAGCTGGTCTCTGCCCCTCCTACCTCATAACTTGCACTATATGTCATAAAGCTTAATGCATATACACATAATCTATATTTATTTATATACTATGTTATTTGCACTTCTGGTTAGATGCTAACTGCATTTCATTGGCTCTGTACCTGTACTCTGCACAGTGACAATAAAGTTGAATCTATCTAATCTAATCTAAATGTGCTGCTCTCATGGCTCCAGGTCTGCAGCAGAAGGTCGAGTCTTTCTGGAGAACAGCTTCTCACTGGTGGCTCAGAGTGAAACTGTTTTATTTCCACTCAATAAACAAATTAAGCCCAAACCGCTGCGTGAATGCAGTTTAATGAAGATGAAAATCACTGTGGTGGAAATAAGAGAGTTCTGCAGAGTCAAAGCTGGGTTAAAGGAGAGGAACGAGACGCTGAGCTACTGTGTGAGATAAAGACCATCCGGCAGACGCTCTTCAACTTCATCAGCTGTAAGTCTGACCTGGGAAAATAAAGAGGTTAAATAACTTACAACAATAAAGCAGCCAGCTGCAGAGCAGATTTGAGTTTCAGTAGTTGTAGTGCTTTCTAGTTTTTGCATGTTAGACTAGTTGTTCAACCAAACTAACATTTAAATCAACGTTTCTCAGTAAGTACAGTAAGACCTAATACAGTAAGTGTTTGACAAATAAACCTCTTGATCAACTTCTTCATTTTGGCTCCTTTAAAATTAGACTTCAAAGTGTTTAGCAGTTGAACATTAAATACAATTCAATAATTGAACAAACCAAACCGAAAGGAAGATTAATCATGCAAATGGTGACTTTAAAACATAATTTTACAATAAAACATAAACAAGTCCCTGTCACACTCAATCTCCTGCATGTCTTCTGTCTCTGATTGATAGTTTTCAAAGCTCTTTTAGTGTAATTGTGCAAACGTCCAGCTTCAGCTGGAGCTTCTCGTGTCAGATCTTGACTGGTTTTTCTCAAGTAAAGGTCAGAATAACTGCAGTAATATCTCCAGATGAACTCTTACTGGACTGAAGCTGCTCAGCTTTACTTGATTCTCCATCAATCATGTTTTAGAGTCTCAAATCTGATCCTCAGGATCTTTTGAGGAGCGTTTGTTTCCAGAAGCTTTACTTTCACTGTTCCTCAGCGGAGGAATGATCTTCACAAGCCTCCAGAACATCTCACATCTTCTGAGGAGCCTTTATTTGTTTATTTTTTGCTAAAATTTGGGCCTTCTTCTCCTCGAGTATGTGCTCCATATTCTCCTACTATATGCACAATAAAAGCCTGTTGTATCAAAAATATGATACCAAATAAAAACACATAAGTAAACTTTTTTGTCTAAAGGTTCAATAAAAACTTACATAAAAAAAATAAAAAATAAAATAAAAAATATTATTCTGACTATTGTTTCATATGTTAGGCTTTACAGGGTTAATAAATAAAAGTCTCCAGTAAGACGGATAATATGAATGTTACATGGATTCATTGTAATTTAGGCTTCAGGTCCTTTAAATGAAGACCAGCGTTTTACTCTGTGAGAAATAATGCCTGGCAATACATGTGATACAGTTCACAAAGTTACAGTCATTTTTGACCTGTGTTTGCAAATATTCTGCATGCATAGAATACACAGATGACCTACTACACGTGTCAGAAAGTGACCTATATTTTCAAAGAGGTACATTTTTAGGAACAAAGTTGTAGCTGTTGAAAATATACCACCCTAGTGACCTTTTTTTTTTTCTTCAGAGAGAGGACACTGCATGCGATTTCCCACAATGCTGTGCATTTCTTGTAAAAACATGTTTTTATTTGTTTATTTATTTATTTATTTCTCTAAAATGATTGCAAGAGAACAACAGTTTGTGTCTTGCCTCCATCTACTGGACAGAGTCAATGGAGTCCAGTAGGCGGAGCTACATTTCGATATATGGTCCGTGGCGTTACTGCAGTGGGCGGGGCTTCGCGTTCGATTGGCTCAACTGGTGTCCATCACTTCGGGTCGATAGCAAACGAGCTAACTAGCTCCACACAACTAATACTACAGCATAGCGGCGAGAGACCCGCGGCTTATTTATTTAAATCTATTTATTTAATATTTTTTTTAATATTGAAACATTAAATCTGTTGTTTGCAGAGACTGGGACGAAAGGGGAGGTATGTTGATTATTGTGCGAGTACTAAGTTAACTGGAAACAGTTCAGCTTAACCTTACACGCTACCGGAGAGATAGAAACATATTAGCTTAATGTGGATGCAAATAACTACACCAGCCCTTCTGTGCTATTTAACACGTATTGGTTAAAGATTTTAGTATTGTTTACGGTTTACAGTGTAATTAACTTGATGAAAAGTTTTTCTTCTATAAGTATATCCTCATTTGTTTGCTGCTTTATTTGTTCTGCTAACTTGTGTGCCATTGCTGCTATGAACAATTTGCTAGCAGATAATATTAACCTAGTATATCAGTTTTTGCTCTCTATTTATCACTATTAACCTTCTAGTTTAGGTGTAACAGATCTACATTTTAACCTTTCTTGAGCGTCTCTGTAGTAACTTGAGATAATAAAATAATAGTAATATTTGCTATTAAAGAATTGTGTGTAATTTTATGCATGATAACAGCAGTAATGATTAAAAAAAGTTGAATACTGTTTAAACCAAAATAAAGCCTTTTTTTTTTTTATCAGTTTTTGTATTTAATAATTGTGTGTAGGGTTGCAAAGGGGTGGAAAATTTCCAGTAAATATCTGGAAACTTTCCAAAAAATCCCTGGAATATAAAAAAAAAATCCTGGAAAGTTTCCGAAATGTACTAGTCATTTATTAACTAGTTTGTATTTCTGTTGTAGATTACTAATTAATACAAATTGCTGGAGGCATATGTATGTAAATGTATTTGTGTACATAAAAAAAATGAACTGTAAAAAGGAAGTTAGGTATAGTGCTTTGAGAAATGCACATAGACATTTTTTTTCCTGTTTGATTCCTTCGCCTGACACACACATTGTTGTTGTAGGAGAATGGTCATCCCTGATGGTGGAAGTGCCCTTCAGCCAGCAGATAGCATTGATGCAGACGAGGTGATGTCCAGCTCAGAGCCGGAGTTCGGTCCCAATCTGACCGCGGTGGAGCTGGAGGAGGTGCGTAAGCTGCAGGACTATTAACCTTCTAGTTTAGGTGTAACAGATCTACATTTTAACCTTTCTTGAGCGTCTCTGTAGTAACTTGAGATAATAAAATAATAGTAATATTTGCTATTAAAGAATTGTGTGTAATTTTATGCATGATAACAGCAGTAATGATTAAAAAAAGTTGAATACTGTTTAAACCAAAATAAAGCCTTTTTTTTTTTTATCAGTTTTTGTATTTAATAATTGTGTGTAGGGTTGCAAAGGGGTGGAAAATTTCCAGTAAATATCTGGAAACTTTCCAAAAAATCCCTGGAATATAAAAAAAAAATCCTGGAAAGTTTCCGAAATGTACTAGTCATTTATTAACTAGTTTGTATTTCTGTTGTAGATTACTAATTAATACAAATTGCTGGAGGCATATGTATGTAAATGTATTTGTGTACATAAAAAAAATGAACTGTAAAAAGGAAGTTAGGTATAGTGCTTTGAGAAATGCACATAGACATTTTTTTTCCTGTTTATTTTAGTTTGATTCCTTCGCCTGACACACACATTGTTGTTGTAGGAGAATGGTCATCCCTGATGGTGGAAGTGCCCTTCAGCCAGCGGATAGCAGTGATGCAGACGAGGTGATGTCCAGCTCAGAGCCGGAGTTCGGTCCCAATCTGACCGCGGTGGAGCTGGAGGAGGTGCGTAAGCTGCAGGAGCTGGTGCGACGTCTGGAGGTCCAGAATCAAGCCCTGCGCAACAGGGGCAGCAAACTAGTGCTGGGGGCCAACAGCAACCTCTCCACCGGAGCTAACAGGAATAACCTGCACGGGGGCATGGACACTTCTCCCGGAGCAGAGGATGCTGGGAACCTGGTGTTGTCGCCTCCAGCGGGCAGCAGCAGCAGTGAGGACATGTCTCCACTGCCTGAGGCCTCCAGGCCGGAGGATGAGGAGGAGCGGGCCGGATTCCTGAGCTCGCCGTGTGCTTCAGGCTCCAAACAAACACTGGGCCGCTTCGAGCCGAGTCTGTCTCCAGATCTCTGTGATTCAGAGACGCTGGGAGCGAGTGATGCGGGTATGGACCAGTCCGCCCTGGACGAGGTGGATGAACTTGATTTAGAGACGTGCGCTCAGACCGAGGATGAAGACAGCTGGTGGGTTTATTCATCTTTTTATTATAATGTCACATAGCACTTAAAGTAGAACAAAATGCAAAAATTTTTATAAAACCGCACACACCACAATGAGTTTTGTGCATGTCGTGAGTTGGTGCCTAGGTGTTGTTGTTATGGGTTTGTGCTATGATACGTAAGGCTGGAATGCACTACATGACTTTTAAAATTGGAATGAATTAAAATCACTAGGAGTCATGCACTTAAAACTGGGCGTCATGTACTAAATGACTGAGGATCACACACTACCAGTATTTCAGGTTGTTTCAAACACAACAAAGAAATATGTGCTTCATTGCTAGGAGATACATGACAAATAAAAGTTATGTTTTAACGTCGGCCCAAATATCAAACAATCAGAGTATGTTGCTGAAAAAAGTCAGTTAATACACTACGTGATTTTCTGTGAAATCTGTCAACTCAAATCTGCAGATTGGCGTCAACTCATCTGGACTGCAAATCTGTAATGTATTCCAGCCTAAATGGTTAGTTCACCCAAAAATAAAAGTTAAGTAGTTATTTACTCACTCTGGTGCTGCCGTACACCGTTCTTTCTTTCTTGGAGAATTTTTTACAAATGTGCTGCTTGCATTCATCCATAATAGCAATGAAAGCCGACCAGCATCGAGCTTTTAAAAAAAAAAAAAAAAAGATGCAGAAGTATCTATGAATGCGACCGTCTCCATGCAACATGTGTCGTATATATTCCAAGTGTTCTGGTCGCTAGAGATTCGTGAAAAGACAAACCGAAATGTAGTTTATTTAACACAAATCCTGAGCTCAGCAGCTGGTCTTCTGTGTATGACTGCACATTCATGAGAATCTGTTAGCGCAGCGGTTCACTCCGGCTCGCCCAGGAAAAGCACACACATTTGTGAGAAATCAAGGTTAATATAAACACAACGTCCCTTTAGGGATATGCCGGTATCAAATTTTCATGTTGCGATTAATTGCTAATGCTTTTTATCACGGTATGCGGTATTATCGCGATATTGAAATTTACTTGTAAAAGCGGTGTGCCCATTTTACTTTCACTTTAAAATGGCGGCAATTCGGAGTAAAGCAATTGTTAGTTTTTAGTTTGTTTGAATTTTCCCTCTTTTCCTCGCTTTCCTTCGCTTTTAAATAGCTTAAAATTGGCGCTGTGATGAACATCATAGCAAATACACAAATCTGAATGGCTGTTTAAATCATTTAAACACGATTCAGAAACAGAAAGAAGTACAGCTGCTTTGTTTACAGGGTTTCCGGGGTAACGGCTGCATTTAAATGAGTTATTATTATTATTATTATTATTATTATTTCTGCAGTTTAGCGCCATCTGCTGTCAGAGAGTGGAAGTGCGCTTGCATCCAGAGCGTCTCTCACATGTTCCCCCATGTGCTTCTCGTCCGCGCTTGTTTACATCAGAGTGCGCACTCGTCTTTCACGCAGCATACAGCGGTGTTGTGCATTTTGACCAGTTTATGGGAAAAGTATTCTTAAAATGCATTCAAAATTCTAAATAATTTGTAATATGTAATTATTCACGGTATTTAGAAGTGCCCACGATAACAATATCGTGCATATTCAGTACCGTGATATATCGCATCACCGAATACTGGCACAAGTCTACGTCCCTTGCTTCTGGCCCAAGTCAAAAGAGCCCATTCTCTATGATATTCTGGTCTCTAGGTCAGATTGTTTACCCACTGCAAATCGTGAGTCAGATCTCAAGAAAACCTCAAACCGATATGCATGATTGTTCAGTTCATTCATGTGTTTTAGGAACTTAAGTAGTACGTCTGCTGTAATGTTGTGCGATTTTGCGACTGTGTTTTCGTTTACTCACAGTTTACTCGTCCAGTAGTGTTGACTCAGAACTACAGCTAATAATAGCTCATAACTAAAAACAGGCTGCATGTCTGGATTACAGCAAGAGATGGTTTTGCATGCAAATGTGCGGAAATTCAGGGTTTCAGGGTGATCTTACTATTAATAAACTTTAATAAATGTAATTATTAGGCTACAGGCTTTTATCTTTAGTCCATTCTGCATTGATTTGTTTAATTAATAGAGAATTTCCGAAAGGAATCAATAATAAGAAGCAGCTAATCTCTCTAATGCAGCTTTAATTTCCAGCAGAATAATCCAGCCACTAATCCGGCAGCGGTTTGGCGTCGGCCAGCAATTAGCCGCTCCGTATGTCCATATCTGTAGCGTGAGGTTAATAGAGCCACGTTTGCTAGCAGTGCTGGGGCTGTATATCTGGCGAGATGGTAAGCAGCTTTATGCTTCATGTGATCGCGCTCATTCTGGATGCTGAAAACAGAGGATTGTTATGAACCAGATGGTGAGCAGAGCAGTTTTTTAATAGGATGCGTTATATAAATCCTCAGTGTTTTGTTTGGGATGTTTACATTGTCCCTCATTTCTCAGTTAAATGTGAAGTAAGTAAAGTAAATATAAATACTTACAGGAGTCTTCCTGAAGACTGTTAAACACTTAAGATGCCCATCTGTAGGTTTAAGGTTTGGCTTTCGTCAGTCTCTCACCTTCTGTTAAGGCAACAAAAAAACTCTGTCGTGCTGTTATTATTATTATCATTACTGTATGTGTTTGGGAAACCTGTTGAAACACAGTCATTATTTCTGTACTTCTGTTGGGGTTTGCGAGTGGTCCAGAAGTGACACATCGCAGCTTTAAATATGCAGAAGCACCGTCTTGTGTTCTCAGGCTTTCTGTCTTGATAACAGTAAAAGAGATGTGCAGTTTTTTGAATGCTGGCAATCTTTCAAATGAGTGAGCGGCCCAGTCTCTGCTTCCAAACAGGATCAGGAATCTTATTGCCAGTTATTTTGTCTGTCTTCCAGAGAACGGGCTCCATCAGAGCAGCATTTATTGACACAGCTGCTCATGATGGATGGATGCTTCACAAATAAACATCAGGCATCTGTTCCAGTCAACACTGGCTGCCCCACATAAAAGACCGTTTGATTTCACTTCTATTTACATTTGAGCAGCAATCATGTAGAGGATGTGCCGCCTGGGTTTCTTCAGGTGCTCAGACTAAGGTCTATAACACCCTACTGAGAGACGCAAGAATGTGCATGTCTGGATTTGTGTCAAATTGGAATTTAATTACACAATAATCACATTTATCTCAAACAATATAATAACTTAATAGTGATAGGTCTAACATTGATATAGTCTAATTTCTCCTCCAGAACTAATGTGGCTGTGATGGATTTCAATTACAGGTGCTGTGTCTGCCGTTCTGTAAATGTGTCCTGGTTTTCTCTCTTTAGGTTGTACGTTTCACCAAAGAAGCAGGTTGTGGCTGAACAGGGGCCTGAATCTCCTCTGAAATGGTGTCGGAAATTCCTCGATCATCCCAGTCCAGAGACTGAAGTCGCCTGTCGGACGCTCATCCACCGGCTAGACCAAAGTATGGAGACTTCACAAGATAACATGTGAATAAATTCATGTGTAATAGAAACAATATTTCATGGTGATGTTTATTGTATACACATGAATACAGAACGACCAAATTATTCAGGTTCAAGCGCTTTAACGCGTCACTGAACTACAGAAGGATTACCATTCGCAGCCACTCTTGTGAGAGGCTGATGTGCACTTTTCCAGGGAAATATTGTCCCGTGACATGTTTCTGCTTTGCACACTGGAGATTTACTGTAGTTTCTGCTTCTGTAGTGTCTGTCACACTGTGAATCAGGAATAGTAATGGATCTTTTCTTCTGTATGGTGACATAATCCCAGTGAAACGGATTATTGAAAAAGAAAAAGAAAAAAAAACATAGAATGAGACTTGATTCTGTGCATGTTGAGATGTGGCGTGGCTCTGGAGAGAGATGGACATGAGCTTTAATCAGACTAAATGATTGGAAATTCCTGCATACGTTGCCAGAGAAGTCGGTTATTTCACCAGAAGATCCAGTTATGACATTCTGATTAAACATTGGCAGATCAAAAAAAAACAAAAAAAACGTGCACAGATGAATTGTTCACAGATCTATAGCATGCATTAATGACACCATGTGAAAGTCAGCGAAGATCATTAAAATCATTATAGTTGCTGGCATGTGCTGGCTCTAATACCTGTCTAAAATGTTTATTGTCATTATAGCTGATCATATGAGTAATTAGTAACCTTTGGGTAGGACGGCAATCAACAGTTTCTTATGTGTATAGCTGAATCAACTCAACTACCAACGGTTCTTGCTGAAATCTCACTCCTCTTCTGGTGGAATGAAAGAGGATTTGCTCAGCTTCAGAGAGGAAAAAATGGACCTTAAGTGTAAAACCTTTTAGCCTGTCGTTCAGTTTAGAAGCTAGTCAAATTTTTTGTGTTTATATATATATTTTTTACCAACCAGTTTCTTTCTTAAAAACAAATATTATCTACATCAGTACAGTAGCCAACACGGCCATGCCTGTTATTTTTAAGTGTTGACGGGTAAAAGGCTGAATAGACTGCAGGAAAACACAGTAAGTCGTTACTGTACTATATTTTTTTCCTGAAATGTAAGTTTAAAAAAAAACAAAAAAACATTACTGTTATAAGAATAATTTCTTGCTGAAAGTATCAAAATGCTTATTTATTTAGCCAACATTATTACGTTCCTTTCTATGTTGTGTCATTTGCAAGTTTTTGAAGTTTAATGCTCACTTTTAAGAATGTGTGCTGTTAACTGTTTTGTCAAATGAACTATTTGAAGGGATAGTTCACATAAAATGACAATTCACTCGTCATTTACTCACCCTCATGCTAAAAAACCTCTAACACATTCTTTCTTCTGTGGGACATAAAAGAAAATATTTTGGAGAAATGTTTCAGCTGTTTTTGCCCACATAATGATAGTCGGTGGAGTCCAAAACAACGCTGGACGCAACTGACTTTCATTGTGTGGATGAAAAACAAAACCGAATACTGAGACATTTTTCAAAGCATCTTGTTTTGTGTCCCACTTGAGCAAGAAAGTCATGGAGGATTCAAACAGCATGAGGGTGAGTACATTATGATTTTTTAATCCGGTTGTTAGACTTGCGCTAATGCTGTATTTGATTTTTGTGTTTTGTAGCATCTAGATGGAAGAACGTGTACAATAGCCCATCTCAGTCCAGTGAGGCTGGCGTCTCGGCGTCTTCCTCTGCTGGGTACCTCAAATCAACTAACAAAACACTACTAACCTCTGGCAGCTCAGGTATGGCATTAACCCCATTCACTGCGCTTCACACACACACACACTCACGCTCACACACACACGCCCACACTCACGCTCACACACACACACACACACGCGCGCACTCACGTGCTCACACTCACGCTCACACACTCACGCGCACACACTCACGCGCACACACTCACGCGCACACACTCACGCGCACACACTCACGCGCACACACTCACGCGCACACACTCACGCGCACACACTCACGCGCACACACTCACGCGCACACACTCACGCGCACACACTCACGCGCACACACTCACGCGCACACACTCACGCGCACACACTCACGCGCACACACTCACGCGCACACACTCACGCGCACACACTCACGCGCACACACTCACGCGCACACACTCACGCGCACACACTCACGCGCACACACACTCACGCACACAGACACTAACACACACACTCACGCCCACACGCTCACACGCACACACACACGTGCTCACACTCACGCTCACACACTCACGCGCACACAGACACTCACTCACACACTCACACACGCGCACTCACACACACACGCGCAAAACACACACACACACGCGCGCGCACACACTCATGCACACACACACACTCACGCGCACGCTCACACACTCACGCGCACACATACTCACACTCACGTGCACGCACACTTTCACACACGCACACTCACACACACGCGCACGCACTCATGCACACACGCGCACACACACTCACTCTCTCTCTCTCACACACACACACAGGCGTTCACTGCTGTGGACGGAGCTGATGTGTTCAGTGCACATAAAGCAGGTGACAGGATCAGATATCATGCATGAGGTGTCTAGCAAACATTTCTGGCTGGCACACTCCTCTCACGCAGTCTTCATCTGTGTGTTTTTATGTGTTTAAAAACCTGTTTGGTCTGCAGTGTGAGCTGAAGTCACAAGTAACCGCCTCTGCATGAGTTTCTGCCATTTAATGAACCTCGTTAGTAGCTAGAAATGATTTTTACTTGCTTTGCTGCATCAGTGTGACTCACTTGACGTACTAGGGCTGCGTGATATGGAGCAAAAATCATATCTGCATTTGTAGACAGAACAGCAGGAAAGATGTGAAGCACATCCACTTTTGGATGCGAACCGTTTATAATAATCTCTACAGATTAAATGGTTTTGCTGCTCATCTGACCTTTTAAATCTGAATAATCTTCAAATAATTGAACTAGGGCTGCGACTAATGATTATTTTGATAACTGATTAATCAATATCTTTGATTAATCGATTAATTTAATTTAAAAAGCCATATATTTCTGTATTTATAAAAAAAAAAATCACATAGCCTGCCCAGTGTTGCTCTTTTAACAATATACAAATCTGAAAATAAATATACTTACTGTATCTATGTGGGGAAAAAAAGGTTAACATAAGTTTGGTATTTTTCAGATGAATTTTCTCTGTAGAAATGTGTTATTCACAGTTTGAAAGTGAAGTGACAGGTGGATATTTTCTGTGCACTGCATGCAGACGCAATTAATTGATGATCAAATTTGTTGACGATTCTGTGTATTATCCATTCTCATCATCAGTTTTGCTGTTATTGAGTGTGTTTTGGGTTGTTCACAGGTTGTATGGGCGTTCCCCCTGCTCTCAGCTCACAGTCGTCTATTGACAGTGAGTTAAGCACCTCAGATGACTCCATCTCCATGGGCTACAAGCTTCAGGACCTGACTGATGTTCAGATAATGGCTCGTCTGCAGGAGGAGAGTGAGTATCCTTCAGCAGACTCTGAGAGGTTTTTACCGCCATATGTGAAATGCAAATAAACGTGGGATATGGAAATGCTTTCTGTTCTTGCATGTCCTTTGTTTGTTTCGAACTCTGCTTCAACAGCAAGCTCTGACAAAGGTTCGGGCAAACTGTAGACCGCTGTTGTTTGTGCTCTTTTGGAGATTAACTTGAGTCTGTTGTGTAACTATTACACAGCAGTTTTGGGTGATAGCACAAAGGTTTTATTATTTGACAAACCATATGAGTTTGAAAGGCCTATGTGGTTTGACCCTCTTTACTTTCTTAAAGGGGTCATATGATGCTTTTTTAAAGATCATTATTTTGTGTATTTGGTGTAACATAATATGTTGACATGCTTTAATGTTCAAAAAACACATTATTTTTCAAATACTGTACATTATTGTAGGTCCTCTATGCCCCGCCTCTCTCAAACGCTTCGTTTTCTACAAAGTCCCTCCTTCCGACAAGCGCAGTCTGCTCTGATTGGCCAGCTGACCCAGTGCATTGTGATTGGCCGAACACCGCAAGCACTCGTCGGAAATGTAACGCCCCTTACCATAATCGCGAGCTTCATCTTTCAAAATAAATGTAAAGACAGAGCCCGAAAGGGGAACAGAGTCGCGTGACAGACACAGTGATGAAGCTGGTATGTGTTTGCAGTACACAAGCCACGGTTAAGACAGCTGACTCCACTGTGATGTGACCCTGTCTCTCTCTCTCACGCACGCACACTTACTTAAGCTAATAACAAAACAGTAGCTGATTCAGAAGCGGCAGATTGTCATAGCAAAGTCAGAATTACCTCCTCTCCTAGGTTCACGAAACGGTCGTCCATAAAATGCATTGCTGTTCTGTTGTAAGTGATCTTAATGATTCCTAAATGCATCTACTTTCGGAAGGTGAAATAAAGTGCTTTTGCTTTCGCCTAGAAACACACAGCGTCTCCCTGACATGCTGCATCAACACTACTGCTGTTCCTGAAACCACGCCTTCTTTCTTTGCATGAACGTTTGGGCGGCATTATTCAAATATTTTCACATAGTGAGGTAGATATGTGGGGGCGTGTTAGAACGAGCCGTTTTAGGGGGGCGTGGCAGAGTCTTAACTTTTATAAAGAATATCTCTTTGGTTTTGAGACTTTAGTCTTTGCAACTTCAGGGATCTTATCTATGCACAATCAGCTTGTAACACTCCAAAGAGAAAGGAAAACTTGAAATTGCACCATATGACCCCTTTAATACTGACTTTAAGGATGGAATGTAGACCGCCTCAAGGAGGCTCTCATTATAAACGGTTATTCTCAAACTACACATCTCTGAGTTACAAAATACGTTCATGAAAATAAGATAGAAATCATGAGAAAAATAAAAGCTTCTAATAATCTTTCATTAGAACATTAGAATTCAGGGTGCAGAATGATGCACTATTTAGGATGGATAGCATGCCAATTGAGACAACGAATATGTCTTCTATCACTGATTGGACTTGTAGACTTTCAAAGAAATGTTTTTTTCGCCTTTTAGAGCCTTCAAGCTGTGTCTATCAAACTATGCACTAGGGGTCTCAATACTACAATGAAAAAAAAAACAATATCAGTGTCACTACTAGGGTTGTCGATGTCGGTACTGAAATGTAAAAAATGTGACGATACCAGATATCGTCAACAGATATGTCTGTGATTGGCTACAATCATCATCATCACGCTCTTCACCGAGCGCTTACACAGATACACACGGGAGCATTTAAAAGCTGCGTCTGTCAGCGGATCGGTCTATGAGCAGATATATTAGGGATTCGCTGATAGACGCGGCTTTCAAACGCTCCTGGTATCGTCACATTTTTCAAATTTAAGTACCGACTGGTACCAAAGTCTGTACTTTTGACAACCCTAGTCACTACAGTATCAGTAGTGCTGAGTACAGACTCTGTTTGGCACCTGTGATAGACAGACAGCAGCTTTCTGTGTGTGCAGGAGTTCTGTGAAGAGCACTTTTGCTAAAGTACACCTGAAAGGTCAATTACTCTGTCAATTAATCACTTATCATGCCAACTTCAAGGCTTTAATTTTTGACATTCAAGCTTGTTTTAACTTACATTGCTACTGATGTCACACCATCTACGGTTTCAAATGAAGCTTTTTTTCCGCACCGTCTTGGTGTTTTTCAGGTCTCCGGCAGGACTACGCCTCTAACTCGGCCTCGCGCCGCAGCTCCTCGGCCTCCCTGCAGTCTCTGCGTCGAGGTACCTACAGCGATCAGGAGTTCGACTCCTACAGTCAGGAGGACGAGGAGGACGAGTGCTGCTCTCTGCCGCAGCGGCTCCAGCGCTACTCGCCCCACAGCTCGCCCCGCTGCCTCTCTCCCAGCACTCTGGCCGAGTACAGCCGTCTGGCCTCCCCGCGCACACGCATGTCCCGCCGCTCCCTGCAGGGCCCGGGGCCCAAGAGCGAGGGTAGGACACGCTGGCTCATTCATTTAGTGTCCATCAGATATTAAACCAGTGATTTGTGCTAGACATGAAACGGCTTGTTTAGCAGAATGGATTGTGATGCTGATTGATGAACTAAATAATGGATGCACTGGTCATCCGATGACATTAATGCTCTGATGTAAAATGAACAAAGGATCATTTAAAGGGGTCACGAAATGCAACTTTACATTGTTTCTGGAAGCTAGCTAAAGACATTTTTGCTCAAACGTTCCAGTATTAGTAAACAATTGCATTGCATTAATTATGCCTCGTAATGCACCCTATAATGCATTGCATTATAGCATCTATTATTGCATCTCATGAATAATTGTAGCCACAGTTATAATACATTCTAATACTAATCTATTCATTGTTACACCTTTAGAAAATATAATGCATTAAAACACATGACAAACAAACCTTCAAAAAATTTAAACGCATTTTAACTTTGGTTACAGTTATTTATGAGAAGATGTAATGCATTTCAACGTACATCATGTATACCTTCAGAATGCATTTTACATAAAGGCTTGAAGTGAAGTGTTAACAAATATTTTTAATGAAACCTAAGAGATTTCTGTCCCTCCATTGGAAGTCCAGGTAATTTTAGTTTTATCCAGGTAATTATTATTTTTTTTCTCACAACTAAACAATGATTCTGATTATCATGTTTATCGCGCTGAAATCATGCGTTTTAAACCATATTAGTTTAAACTTCTGATAGACGGTTTTCTGAGCGCACACATCCGAAGCACACGCACAGAAAGCAGTTGTCACAGCATTTGAGTAACATTACTAAACTAAGCTCTCATTCACACACAAGTTTACGTTAAAAACACATGAGTTACAAAAACAGTTGGTTATGTCTGTGAAGGTAAACAGCTGGGAAATAAATCGCTTGTTTATTTTAGATCTGTGTGGCAGCAGCAATATACAGTAAATAAATCAATAAATCACTGCTCTGTTGTCTGCTCTGAGGCTGGTAATCTAAATAGTGTTCTGTGCTCGTCTGTGCAGCCAAAGACAGAACAGTTAGCATGTTTTGCTCAAACTTTCGCCATGGCTTTATAACTAGTACACCGTTTTCGCTTGCAAAATCAAAATGACGGCGCCGTGGGTGGAAACGTACAGATTAAGGGGCGGTAATATTATAATGAGATCCCTTTGCCACGTCACCAAGGGAGCGATATCAGATGCGCTCGTTTTTTCAGACGCTTGCAGAAAAATGCTTACCAAAACAAAGTTACTGGGTTAATCTTTTTCACGTTTCCTTGGTTGGTAGATGCACCGGGGACCTGATTATAGCACTTAAAACCTGGAAAAGTCAGATTTTCATGATATGTCACCTTTAATATTGATTGCACTCTTCTAGAGAGGAGAGGACTCTGCATGCATTCCTTCTGTATTGTTGTGAGTGTGTTAAGCAGGCCGTGTGTGTGGTTTCAGAGGAGCTCAGGCACAGCATGCCTAACCTGACCCCTCGCAGTGGCCTGCAGTCTCTGGAGGCAGTCAGAAACAGCCGCAGCATGGAGGCTAACCTACAGAGCTCAGGCAACCGCTCGTCCCGTCTGCCCCAGTCCCCCACAGGTTGGTACCCCGCTCCTTCATCCTCATCCTCATCCTCATCCCCCGTCCTCAGGGAACACTCTCTTTCAAGAGCACCAGCAGCGTCCACAACCCCATGTGTGTCTGGTTTCTGTGTGATCACTCCCTCAGTCTAAACCATTGTTGAACTGACAATACGCTGCTGGGTCAGTTTCTCCTCCCGTCCCATCCATTGTCTCTCACACAGTTAGTCTGTTCCTAAAACCTGTCGTACCGGTAGTGGGAGTTTGAGCCACTGTAGAATATCTTTTCTAGAGCCCTGCAGTGAAGATGTGTTTCTGTAGGCTAGATCAGTCGTGCATCGTGCATGTGCCGTGAACTTCACATGCTTCTGAAAATCCAGCGTTTAGTTGAACCTGATCAGCTCTCATTGTCAGAGTCGTAAACATGATGGCTTTCTTCTTCTGTGAAGGGGTTTGGCTTTGTTTCAAGTCGGACTGTTAAAGAAAGCGACGCACACGTATCCCAGAAATCCTGTAGAATTCAACCAACCAGATGATGACTTCGAAATCGTTTCCCATTTTGTGTTCCTTATACATCAGTCATTCAGCAAACCATCCGCGGCTGTGATGTCTGAGACTTAGACTAGCATCATCCTGGTTCCCTCGACTCAAAAAAATAAAAAAAACCCGAAAGGATTTTTCCATTGGCTTCTGGATTATTGCAGAAAATAAGCTCTGTGAGCAAGTTTCTGATTCACACACGTTCATCATTATCTTCTCAAATGAGCACAACTTTTATGAATTTAGTAGCCTAAGTACAATTGCCGGAAGTAAAAATTCTAAAAAAAATTCTAAACGAACACCACGGTCACAAGACTTCAGCGTCACCAGCATTAAGGCCCAAGTATACTTCTTTTTTTTTTTTAATGTGTACGCTAGCATACATTTGTGTAAAAAAAGGGTGTTACTGATGTACCTTCATGCCATAAAATAAAACGCAAAAACATCTTGAGCTTGTGTTCACCACAGACCTTTAACATTCAAAAACCCACTGAATTCAGGACGGTGGGACCGCAAGTGCTAAAATACTGAACTCATTTCCAGGTTTTTGCAAAAATGCGTCATCCCTGCAGCACTCAACAACAGCTTGGCCGCTGCCCAGTGAGGTGTAGTTTGATTTCATCATCTAATTACTAATGGTTATGTGGGTTAGTTTCGGCCTACAGCCAACTCGTGTCCTTTGGGAATTGGGTTAGAACCAAACAACATGACTGCATGCAGTGTTATTGTACACAGTATTTAGGCTCTGATCTCCTCACTGCACCCTAAAAGAGTCCATCTAGTGTTGAGTCTTTCATCCTGGATATCCTGGGGCCGCTGCGTCTTGTGTTTCCCAGCCTGATTGAGTGCCCTGTTGTGAGAGCGGTGAATAAGATCTTTTACACACACCAGTCTTTCCTGGAGGTTTTTCTCAGGGAGTGTCTTCTTCTTCAGTCACTCGCTTTGAGACGGTTTCCTTGGACAGAAGCTTGTTCATCAGATGGCATCCAGCTTTTCTTGAGCGTTTCGCCTCAACCAAGACATTCTCCAGCTCGGTGTTTCTCTGTGAGATCCAGGGGCCTCGTTTATAAAATGCACATACGATCGGATTTGATACTAAATTCCATCCTATGTCAAAAGTGAGGAACAAATCAGGATTTAATCAGGGAAAAACTGATGTGAAAATGTTCTGTGAATGCCAACTGAAGAGCATGCACACAAACTTTTTGCACTCATACCAGTAAATTAAAATAATGCAACATTATTGAAATGTCAATATAGAGAATTACGTTCAATATGCATTTATTAAAGGAACACTCCACTATTTTTGAAAATGGGCTCATTTTCCAACTCCCCTAGAGTTAAACAGTTGAGTTTTACAGTTTTCGAATGGATTCGAAAACGGTAAAACTCAACTGTTTAACTCTAGGGGAGTTGGAAAATGCGCCTATTTTCAAAAATAGTGGAGTGTTCCTTTAAAGGCACAAATGAGCATCATATTAACTGCTTTGTCATGATTACGCCACTGAAGAATTAGTTCATTATGTTGATGGATTCCTGGAATATCTCTCACACATGTTACCCTCTCTGTGAAATCCAGGCTAAAGTCTCAAAATCTAATTATGAGATAACAAGCATCAAAGTTTGATTTCAACCATTAATTTCACTATGATTTAAATTTTTTGACATGGCCTTACTCAGTCAATATTAAAGATATAAAGGTTATATTTTCACAGAATGTTCTACATCTTTATGAAGGATGATTTTATTTAGAAAACAGTAAATCACACACTAAAAGCATGACTTTAGCTGGGTTTTCACAGGCAGGGTCACACATGTTGACCATGCCTAGCGTCCAGTGCTGTTCTTCTGAACCGTAAGGGATTTTGTGGGCGTTCTGTAGATGCATGCGCTCGAATGTAAGATAAATTGCAAAAAAAAGCAACTGCAAAACAGGGATGCATTCAGGAATATTTTTTATGCATAAGGACATTTTATAAATCATTTGTAGGAACATTTTGGAAACTGTCGTCGTTCTCTTTATAAATGAGGCCCTAGGTCTGAGCAGAATAATGGCTTGTGATTCTTTGTCACTACCGGTACTTGGTGTTTCCGGCAAAGTTTCTAGGATTTCTGTCAGTGTGAAAGCCTTTCTTACACTTTTTGCAAAATTTAGACTGTTGGGCAAATGCATCCTCCTGTATATTTTCAATATTGATGGGGGTTTACAGGAGTGTTTGTGATTGGCTGCTCTTGTAGGTGTATCATCTGCGAGGATGAGGGGTGACAGCCAGTCCCCTCTCTATCTGCGGGCTCCCATGAAAGCCCTGAGTCCCGTCAGCTCTATGTCTGCAGTGCGACAGCACGCCAAAGGGCCAGCGAGTGCCCAGGGAGGGATGAGGAGGGTGCAGTCGCCCGGTCCCAACAATGGGGCGTCATACTCCGCTGCTGTCGCCCGTCAGACTCCAGGAAGAGGCATGACACCCTCTTCACCTTCCTCCAGAGGCAGACTTCCACAGACACCCAGGAGGTGAGTCAAGATCAGCCAAATACACTGCTGTCGTAGCCATTGTGAAAGCTCTTTGGAATTGAGGTTGTGTTTTCTCCATAGCAGATCTCTGGGAATGGCCAAACTGTGCGCTCCCATCGCTGATGAATCCTGGAAAGATGGTTGTTACTGAAGCCCTGAGAGCTGCGGCGGTTTTCCAGCCGCTAAAGACTGAGAAAAATCAGCACAGAGTCCCTAAAACAAGAGTTTGATCGAATCCACAATGGATCAGACACAGTTTGCATTCAGAGACTACAACAAATTGTTACCTTTGCTTGATTTTCAATTATCAATATATTTTTATTTTCTTGAGAATGGGGAAGTATGGAAAAAATATGAGAGCTTGAATAATGAAAAAGGTTTGATGTCCTGTAATGTAGTTTTTGTGAAACGTGTGGAATTTAATTCCTAAATGCTGTGGTGTAACCCGCTGTTGATTTTGCATGTTTATCTATTTTTAGAAATGAAGGATATATGATTTTTATTTGTGAAAAAATGTGAGATTTTTTTAATCTGATGAAGGAATCGTATTCTGTAAAGCAAGACGTTTGTCTGTTTTGTATCGTCAGGACAAAACACAGCAATATTGAAAATAGTTTTCATGAAAAATGACCGCGGAGGAGAAGAAAATACTTTTAATTTTTATATTTGAATTGAGATCACATCAATGTGCCAAGGTGCATTACTACTGCAACACTGTTCCTCCTTAATTCAGAGTGCTTGAAGGTGAAGTTACTACACTTTCACTCCATCTGGAAGTTTGAATATTTATTTTGATGCCTGTGTAGTCTAGGTTTAAATATTCACTAAGCCGGTAAAAGTTGAAATCTCTGAGTATGCAATGATAATGGAGTGCCTCAGAAAATCAATAAATCAATTTCAGCAATAAAGCAGTCGTTTTATTCTTTGCAGGGTTTCTCCTTTGCTTGGCAAGTTACAGTAACACATTAGAAACTGCTTTATTGTGTATCAAAACTAGCCAAAATACATTTGCAGTATACAATATGTTTTGTTTGAACGTGCAACTTTCATTCATAACATCTTATCGTATGAGGTGACGTAAAGCGTGCCGCGCGTTCGCTCTGCCCCGCCCTCCGCTGTTGTCAACGGACATTCTGATTGGCTGAGTCTTTGGAACGAGTAGTCTGATTGGCTGAGGCAGCGAATCGAGGGCCGTGATTGGCTCAGGCCAGGAAAAGAGCGTTCGGGGATCCTCAATGTACAGGCCGCAGTAGCGCTACCGTTGGAAAATTAACAATAATAAATTACGACAGATTCGAGGGGATCCGAAACTCTTCTACGCTCCGAAGGCTGTCGCGGAGTAGGTAAAGCGTTTTGGTTTTGTGCGGCGTGTCTGTGAAATGCTCGCCGTCGGCCCAGTCGGCCTGCGTGGGCCTGGCTGAGCCTTGTGTTGCGCTCAAGCGCGAGGAAGCGCCCAGTGTGCGCTCCTGCTAGCGGGAACACGCGTAAAACGAGTCTCTACAGCGATCATGATGCGCCTTTGGCGCAAAAATCAGTCATGTACGAAGTAAATGCAGACCATGCGTCTGGGCTTCGCGCTTTTGTTGTATTCCAGGTTGTGTTGTACTCATTTACGTGCTGATATATTCGTTAGCTAATGCTATTAGCCGTTTAGCATGTAGTGTAATGGCGGAGGGCAAGATGGTGCAGTAACGCGGCTGCATTTGCGCAAGCCTTTAACTGCGTATGAACTGATTTCTTTGGCTATATTAAAGTGAATTTTACAACGTAATATTGTATTTTGTATATGTTTTAAATTGTATTGAGTCGATTCAACGATAGTAAATTTGTTTCGATGAACTCTGTCACGCACGGACCGGTTATAAGCTCAGTTACGAAGCCCACTATGGCGAAGGCTGACTTCATGAATATTAATAAGGTCGTGCTAACGTTGCGTGTTTCGTAAGGGCACGTAACGTAATTAATATTCATGAGTTGAGCATTTGTCGTAGTAGGGTTCCGGTGTGCATCGACTAGTTTACATAATCATAATCACTCTGACAGCGATTTCACCACTTTCTCAGACTGTACACTTTTTTTTTTGAAAAATATTACGTTACAGTTCGCCTTTTCAGGGACTCTAAACTTATTTAAATCCCCTTTATAGTATTGTTATATTTCTCAAGTTGTTATTGCTCAAGTATTAACCATATATAATGAACAACCGCCTTACTCTTATTAATGTAGTTGTTATTTTACTGCATTTATAGATCACGTTTATTAAAAGTGCATTATTGTAATGGTAAGATTTCATTGTGACATGAACTTTATAAATGACAATCTGTATCACACTTATATGTATACATTCATAAGCTACAGTTCACTTTTGCTGCTTGCTTGTATGCATTGATCTATGTTTTAGGATTTTATTTTTTATATTTGGAAGCAAACGAGAATTTGTAGTTAAAATCTCACTAAGGTAGTCTCTACATAAAATATTATAAACATAACGTTTCTTTCCTGGTCTCGGTTTCTTTCAGACACTTTCCTCCCAGATGCCAGATTCACAGATTTGCTTAATGTTTGCTACGCTTTTACATGAAGGGAACTACTGTCAAATGTGAAGGTTTGTTAAATAGCAATACAAGCGTTTGCTCTCGTAGCCACATGCCTGTAATTTGAATGGAAGAGAAATAAATATGATTGATTATTAACGGATTGTTAAATGAGTGTTCATATTAAATCAGTGTGATGGATTTTATTTATATCAAATAGTTTCACCACATTCCTCACACAGCAGTCCTTCATTTATTTTAATTCTTTGTCTTTTTTACAGTGTTGTGGAACAGTCACAGATAATGGATCAAGGTGGAGGGATCCTGGAGCTTCACAAGGATTTAAAAATGCCCCATACAATGATAATGCCAGATTTTGGTAAGGAACGTCACTGAAATAGTGAGTCAATAAATTAGTCGATATTTGCTCAGTTTTAGGTTATCACATTAAATATGATTTTATATGTTTTTTTTTTTTTTATAATGAAAGTTTTTCAACTTCAAATGGCTGCCAATGGACAATGCAGTTTGTATTTTGATGTATGTGAATAAATAGTTCATTTGATTTCAGCAATTTTATGTACAACTGATTTTGCTCTCATTGTGTGGACATAGGCACACATATTGGCCGTCACTTTAAGGATTAGCTCAGCCAAAAATGTCGTTCCAAACTCATAAGTCTTTCATAACACAATGTATTTTAAAATTAAACCTGACAGGAATGCAAACTTGTCACCTTTCGGCTAAATTCACCGTTTTGAATCCAAGATTTAAGTGATTTGTGTAGATCTGATGAGTTTTAAAAATGGGAGGGGGATTACGGTACCAGTAGTGCCAACTCAATTCTGTACACATTCAGAGGCGACTGTGTGTGTGTGTGTTCTGGTTGACAATGATCTTAATAACAAACACATTTTATATCCGCTAAATTGCTCTGTGAGTCACTTCTGAAATTGCTATGATCGATGAAGATTTGCTATGATTGACTAAAATGCGTTACAATAGTCATTTTATAATAGATCCAAAATCAAAACATGTGAAAATAACTAAATTAGTGAGTGGAAATGGCAAATGAGAGAAAGTGATCCTCTGCTGCCATCTACTGGTTATAGTGTTTGTTTTTCACCAGGTGACAAATCTTCCACTTAAGCGTGACATGTTTTGAAAATGAGAAATGATCTTCATTAAAGTGATTTTAATGTAGAGTTATAATAATAGTGTTTATCACCGCTGATGAGTTTGCATCTCAGCCCGAGATGTTTCTGTCTCCATTCAAATCCAGGGGCCTGTACCGTGATGGTAGTTCAAATTCAGATTTACAGGACTAGTTTCAGGTTTGACAAAACCAAACCACTCCAATCCGGCTTTGTTGGTACCATGATGCTGATCATCAGCTTTCTGTCAACTCTGGCTTTGATCCTGAGTTTGTGGAGCGTGTGCTCATGAATGTGTGACATCAGCAGTTAACAGCCAATCACACGCCTTGCAACACAGAGCAAGTGTGATTCACTTCTCGCGAGAGAGCCAGCGAGATTCAAAACTCTTTTTCTGAAGGTTAAGACATTGAAGAATATGAGGAATTTAGACGCATTTGCACTGAAGAAAGCACTTGTTCATGAAAGAGCACAAAAATCAGAGATGATCTTGCTGTATCAGTGCAGTCGATAATATATAGTGATAGAGACTCGAACATGTAAGGTCACATGTAGTCATTTGTAAAGTGTTATCGATTCTACAGCTTATGTATATTACATATGACCTGCATATATTAATATTCCTTTAAAATAAATGCTTAATAATAATTGTTAAACTAAAATTGCATGTGTGTAATGGATTAATAACAATATAAATCATATAAAATAATTCTAAGTGATTATCATTAAAGCCAGACAGTTTTATTGGAAATTTTTATTTATTAATTTGTTTTGGTCCCACTTTATATTAAGTGGCCATAACTAATATGTACTTACATAAAATAAGTACAATGTACTTACTGTGTTCATATTGTATTGCAAAAACTTTTTTGCTGCTATTGAGGTGGGAAACGGGTACAGTTAGGGACAGGTTTAGTGGGTAGGTGTAAGGGATGGGTCAACAGTGTAATTATAAATGTAATTACAGAAATTAATTACAGATGTAATTACATGCAGGTATTTTTAAAATAAAAGTATAATGTAAAAACATGTTTGTACACAATAAGTGCATGTTACCAAATTATTAATTTAAATGTAAGTACATAGTAGTTAAGGCCACTTGATATAAAGTGGGACCATTTTTTTTTTTAACTTTATAGTGACCTTTAATTTGGAGGACGAGAAACTGGGGGAGTGACTTGTGTCAGAGATGTATCACTTTGCTCACATCTGATTGGTTCAATTTCAGTTTGAGATCTCTTACCCAGAACATGACCTGCCCTGGAGCAGGTTAGCTGTGGAGTGTAAGTTACTATGGCAATGAACGCCGCTAAAAGCCAAACCACTTTCATGGTACCTAAAACCCAGGATTGGTGCAAACTCAACTGAAACTTACTTGGCTAGCAGCTAATCCGGCTTCATGGTACCCGCCCCAGGTAACCAAATCTGTTCCTCCTATAAAGCTATCGTGTTTCTTCACAAGTCTTGGATAAAACGGCTCAGTTCATATGGACTCATTTTATGACACCTGTATGATTTTTTGGGGTCATTAAAGGTGCTGTATGTAATTTTTTGACTGCACTAAGGCATAAAAATACCATAATATGTTTGCAGATATTTAGGAAACATGCTAAGCGCACATACTTGTTTCTCTAAAACACAACGCTACAGCCATTTATTCTGCTTTGAAATGTGTGTTCCGTGTCGGAATGTCTGTTTTTGTTTTGGTCTGTGTGACTCTGCCCACTGCCAGATCACCCAATAGTGATTCAACGCACTGGGTTGCCAGTGGAAAACACAGTGTACTGCAGCCATGGAAGTCAGCAAACTAACTGGTTTAGAGATCGCAGATTCTACCCGTCCTAAAAAGCCTCTGTGTCCATCTAAAAATCCCTATGAACAAAGGCATATTAAAATGTGGATAAATCAACTCATAAACTTACAAGGTAAAGCTCGTTCATGTTGTGTGTTTTCAATCTGGCAACCCGAGGAAGCGTCGAGTCTGAGGAGGAGGGGTGGGAACAGTGGCGGATTTAGGCATGTGCAACTGCTCAGGGCGGCACGTGGCACCTGCACCAGAAAAATAAATAAATAAACGGAATGCTCGATCTGGTTTTTACCGCTCATTTGCATGGCACGGCAATATCATGTCACCGTGTGTGTCACTAACTGCTCGGGACTCGGAGTGTGCGACCAACAATACTTTTTCTTTCCAACTAGATTACATAATCAGACAGTAAA